TCAAAACGCCAAAGCATTTCTACCACAGATTGTACAACACTATTGCTTAGCTGGAAATGTCCATCCACATGTGAACTTTATAGGAGCCATTTCTATCCTCTCACAGTGGGAAAAGACAGCAAAAGGAAAGGCAGGAAAAAAGAACAATTGTAGAGAATGGTGTAGGAGACATAAATATTTCATCTGTGCCCTGCACTGGTGTCCTGGGGGAGGGGGACCCAAACTTCAAGCTCTGTTTCTCTGGGGGAGAAAATGATTCCTCTTTAAAAGGGTTTTTGAGCCCCGGGTCCCCAGGTGCCCACCATCCCTTTGCTGAAGTGACATTTCCGTGGCAGATGGTACAAATAGCCTGGCACGCTCTGTAGCTGTTGGATCAGTACAAAAATAAAACCTGCCAGATGGCTGGCATGGCTCCTGGCAGGAGCACAGGGCTCCTCTGTCTGATGGGGGGAGTAAAGCTGCCCAAAAACCAAATGATAGCATCTGAATTTCCTCTGAAACGCTTTGGAACTGCAGCTCAGCCAGGGCTGGGCTGGGCTGGGCTCCTGCTGTCTGGGAAGGAGCATCCCTGTGTCTGTGTGTCTGTGTGTCTGTGTGTCTGTGTGTCTGTCTGTGCTCAGTGTCTGTCTGTCTGTCTGTGTGTCTGTGTGTGCTCCAGGGATGGGAAGGAGCATCCCCGTGTGTGTTTGCCCCAGGGGTGGCCTCTCCTGCCACCGTCCCTGTCCCTCCCGCCAGGAGCAGCAGCTGCAGGGATCTCATCTCCCCCAGTGCCACCAGCAGAGCTCTGCTGTGCCACAGAAACACAGAAAAAACAGAAACACAGAAGACACAGAAAACACAGAAAACACAGAAAACACAGAAAACACAGAAAACACAGAAAACAGAAAACACAGAAAACACAGAAACACAGAAAACACAGAAAACAGAAAACACAGAAACACAGAAAACACAGAAACACAGAAAACACAGAAACACAGAAACACAGAAAACACAGAAACACAGAAAACGCCAGGGGCAGAACCTCACCCTGGTCTGCTCTACCTGAGCCTTCTCCAGAAAAACAAACACTCCAGGATGGATGGATGGATGATGGATGGATGGATGGATGGATGATGGATGGATGGATGGATGGATGGATGGATCCTTCCTTCCCTCCTTCCTTCCTCCCTCCCTTGAGCACCAGGAATTCAGGAATTCCCAAGGGGCAGCTGCAGCACTGATTTGCCCTGAGGGATTCTTTGCCCTAGCCCAGGGTCCCATCAGGAGGAGAATCAGGAGCAATCCCTGGATATCTGCACAGCCCCCCCGAGTGTCCCCTGCCACTTTCTGTCACTGAACCATCCCCAGTGTCCCTGCCTGGGTCAGGGTGTCCAAAGAGTTCCCAGCCCAGCCTCCAGGTTCTGATTGCCTGCTGGCATTAATTACATCCAGGACACTTCTCAAAGGCAATCAAGGGTTGAACATGTTCCTCCAGGAACATTCTGCTCATCTTCAGTTCCATTTTACCCTCAATCAACTCATTTATTTGTTTACACCAGCTGATGACCACTAGTCTCCAAAATTCAGAATAAATGCCCTAATGCTCAAGTGAAGGCCAACAGGATAAATGAATCTCTGCAAGCAAGAATTCGGGCCAGGCGTGGTACAGACAACAGCAGAGAGATAAAACCCAAATCATTTCAGCATCCCCTGGGGTCCAGCTCCTCAGGGGGAGCAGGGCAGTGCCAGGCTGGCACCTGGGCACCCCATGGCTGGAAGCTTTCCCAAGGTGGTTATTTCACCCCTGGAATGGACTTGTCACTGCTGCTAATCCCCCCCGGAGGCACTGACCTGAGCAGCAGCATTGTTGTGCCCTTCTTCACAATGACTGCACTTCAGTGCCTTAAAGCTCCTGCTGAAACTGAACTCAAATCTGCAGTGGGCTTCGACTACACTTGTAATCCAAGCTCAGTTTTAACTCATTCACAGAATTCAATGTTCTTCCCATCCTGGCACAGAGCTCACAGATACCAGAGGGAAGGTTCATTTTGTCACGTTTATGTTCCAGCATTTCAAATTTTCCTTTGTGACTAGCCTCTTTCAATTTCTTTCTCTGAATATTAGAATAAAAATGATTTTTTCATCTCAGCAGATTTCAGCCTTTGGAGATTACCTCCAGCTGGCATAGAGTGAAACAGTGACTGAATTAATCTAACCTGTTTTGAGTAAAGATCAAGAGGAAAAATGGAGAACTCACAGCTTGTTCTCAAGAACTTTCTTGTATTTCTGTTCTCCCTTGACATTAGACCCCCCTGGCAGTCTGTGCCACAAATGTCTGACAATTCACCAGCATCCCTCATCTCAGTATTTCAAGTGTTCAACAGACAGCACCAGGGGATGCAAGACACCCTAAAGTTTTGTTCCTATGAATGTCTCAGTGAAACAGAATGAAATCCACGTGGGACACTGGAATCCCTGCCCAAGGCAGGTGCATCAATTGGTAACACAGTGCTGCAGTGTAAGGAATATTGAGAATACAGCAGAGCATTTATGCACCCCAGAAACGCCCAGGGTGTTCATGGGGAGCTCTGCTGATGGGAAGGGATGTGCAGAGATGGGAGATGTGTGAGGTGTGTGAGGTGTGTGAGGTGTGTGAGATATGTCAGATGTGTCACTGTTTGTGTCACTGTGTCAGGGTTTGTGTCACTGTTTGTGTCACACACACCGACCTTGGCTTTGGCTGAAGTCCCTGAGGATCTGTGTGCTCCAGCTGGGAGCAGCAACCTCGAAACAACTGCAAAGTCCCATTAATGGGACACTTATTCCCTTTTTCCTATATATATATATATTATTTTTTTAAGCAGGAGGAAGATCAATGTGAAGAGGAGCTGAGTCAGAGCCGTCCTCACACTGAGCTGGCCTCCAGAGCTCAGGGATTTCCCCAGGGATTTCCCCAGGGATTTCCTCATGGATTTCCCCAGGGATTTCCTCATGGATTTCCCCATGGATTTCCCCAGGGATTTCCCCAGGGATTTCCCCAGGGATTTCCTCATGGATTTCCTCATGGATTTCCCCAGGGATTTCCTCAGGAATTTCCCCATGGATTTCCCCAGGGATTTCCCCAGGGATTTCCCCAGGGATTTCCTCATGGATTTCCTCATGGATTTCCCCAGGGATTTCCTCAGGGATTTCCCCATGGATTTCCCCAGGGATTTCCCCATGGATTTCCCCAGGGATTTCCCCAGGGATTTCCTCAGGGATTTCCCCCGGGCTCTCCCTGGGGTGTTCTCCAGGCTCTGAAGCTCTGCAGATGTGCTGCTGTGCATTGCAGCCCTTCATCACTGTCACTGTCCCCCTTTTTTTAAATTGGAAATTGTTTTCTGTGCCTGCCTTTCTGCAGGGGCTGGCAGGGCTGAGTGCTCCTGGTTTTCCTGTGGCTCTGAGTGCTGGTGCAAGGTGTTCAGGTGCCCTGGAGCTGCTTTGTCTGTGCCAGGGGGAGAAAGGGAAATGATTCTTGACACAGGAGAAAGGGAAGCCTAAAACACCCAGAAAATTCCCACGAAAAATTAGTTGCTTTTTTTCTTGTACCGAAATACAGCTTTTGATGGAAAAATCTACAATTTTCATGCAGTTCATTTCCAATAACTTGTTTCTATTTTTTTTTGAAAAGCAGAGCCCTTTAGATAAGAATCTAAATCTTTTTTTCCAGAATCTAGAGAAAAATAAAAATTCTGTCAAAAACAGTGCTCTACAAAAAAAAATGTGATCCATTTCAATTCATTTGGCCCCAGATGTATTCTAGCTGTGCAAACAGAACTGTTCAAATGTGGGCAAATGCATCCTCCCACCCTTTTCTACTTGTTTCCTATTATCTGTGCACTTCATTCATGAAAGGAAGATTAAAATCAACACAAGTTCAAGGTCGGATATAACATCATTGCAACAATTGCTTAGAGCTTTGGCAGCCTGGTGTTCCAGGGCTGATTTAAATGGGCCCTTTCAACCTTCATGAATTTCTGAACGTGGTGAACAAACACAAATATGTGCTCAAAATCCACAGCGTTTTAACATTTGCTTAAGAGGGTTCCAAGGACACCTGAGAGAAGTTTCCAATTGTCACGTTGGTTCAGCACTCAGCAAATGTTTTGGGAATTTGTAACTGAGTCTGTGGCACAGCTCAAAAGCCAGGAATTCTGCCCTTGCCTGGCTCTTATCTTCATGCCAATTACACAATAAAGATTAAAAAAAAATTAGCACCACAAGATAATCCTAAATGGTCAGCTTAAAGGATATGTCTAGGACAAAGATTTGGGAGGAGATTTTCCTTTTATCATAAAGGGGAAAACAGAGCCATGGAAAAACATTCTGCTCAGAGTGTGGTGGATGTAAATGCATCAGACCAGAAATGTAAGGAGAGGGAAAATATTGAGAATGGAACTGTTAAAGGACTGGGAGGAACTGGAAGGTCCATTCACATCCAGCCTTTCCTGGTTCTGCATTTCAGACCCCTTAAGGAAAGCTGGATTCCAAAGAATTCTAAATAAAATATCTTTGATCTCTAATTCCTAATATTGCACAATACTAAAACTTTTAGCAGCATCCCATTAATCATCACACTCCTAAATGTGTTTAGCTGAAAGCTGGGCCTTTCAGAACTATTCCCCAGTGGAGAATCAACCAATCTTTCAGTGGCATTTAATTGGTGGCTGTCCTGTTTAATCCTGGATAATTCCCTGAATGCTGCTCTTTAAAACAGGGTTAATAATAGCACATTTCCCCCAAGATACTTCTGTCTTACAAGATGGGAGGTCTTGAGGCAAAGCTGCATTTTATTACCAGCCTGAAGAGTTCCTAGAAAAATTATACCTGGGAACCATTTGAGGTCATTAGGTGCTTTACAAGTAATAAAGATAATAATGGTTTGATAAAAACTGGATGACCTGAGGGAGCCAAGCCCCACCTTCAAGTGATCAGCCTGACACAAGGGCTGGGTATTAATTCAGCTCTCTGGATAACACAACAGAAGCAAGAAATAAATCCAAGCTGGGTATAAAGGAGCCCAGTCTCAGGCACTTACGAGATGTGAGGATGCATTTGTGCTTCATTTTGAACAGGCAGGTTTAGTGCTTTGCTGAGTCTCACCTTCAGGGGCACCACCTGCATCAGGATGGCAAAGTTGGTGAGGTGGTTGCAGAGGCACAGGGAGTGGTTGAGGTCCCCACCCTGACGGACACAGCCCTCGTTGGACCAGACCCCAGTTCCATTGCTGGAGAGCACAAAAAAA